AATAGAGATATTACATTCCAATGTTTTGTTCTTGGAACACAGATATTTGTCATACTTTTGAAGATAAAAAATAGTTTTATTGTTATAGGCAATACAAAAATCTACGTTAGATGTTAAGAATCATATCCAGGATTTATTGGAGAAGAAAATTATTCAACCGAGTTCGAGCCCTTATGGAGCACCAATAGTTGTCGTCAGAAAGAAAGATTCATCTATTAGACTATGTGTCGATTACAGAAAGTTGAACCTGAAAACAGTTCGAGATGCATTCCCTCTCCCTCGTATACAAGAATCACTTGATGCTTTACATGGATCATGTCTATATTCAACATGTGACCTTGCCAGTGGATTTCATCAGATAGCAATGGATGAGAAAGATCAACACAAAACGGCTTTCGTAACCCCTATGGGATTGTTCGAATACACAAGAATGCCAATGGGATTGACAAACTCACCCGCTACTTTTCAACGATGCTACAAATTTTTAATGACACAGTTTTCCAAATCCTTCTAATCTATCTAGATGATCTAATTGTTTATTCAAGAGACTAAGATGAACATTTAGTTAGTCTTGAGACTGTTTTTGCGAAGTTAAGAGAACATGGTTTGAAACTGAATGGGGACAAAAAGTCACTTTTTCAAGTCCAGTGTCAAATATTTAAGATATGTGATATCTAAGAATTGAGTTGCAACATCACCAGATAAGATAGAAGTTGTTAATAAATGGCGAAGACCAAGAACATTGAAAGATTTACGTTCTTTCCTATGATACGCAATCTATTATCGTCGTTTTGTCAAATCCTTGGCTCACATAGCCAAACCATTATATAACCTGATTAGTGTAATTAATAAAGAGAAGTCAACTACAATAACTAATAAGTTATGGAGTACAGATTGCAACAACTCATTTGGAAAACTCAAGGAAGGCTTGACGTCATCAGAAATCTTAGGATATGCCGATTTTTCATTACCATTTGTCCTAGAGACTGATGCAAGTTTCCTAGGATTGGGTGCAGTACTAAGCCAAGAACAGAATGGTAGAAAGCGTGTAATAGCATATGCAAGTCGGACGCTACGACCACCTGAGAGAAATGATGCCAACTACAGTTCTGCTAAGCTTGAACTATTAGCTGTGAAATGGGCTGTACCGAAAAATTTAAAGACTATCTTTATGGATCTAATTTTACCATCATCACAGACAATAATCCCCTTACTTACCTTCAGTCTACTGCTAAACTTGGAGCTGTTGAACAAAGATGGGCAGCACAATTAGCTCAATTTAATTTTACTATTGAATATCGCCCAGGAAAGCAGAATGCAGCAGCTGATGCTCTGTCTAGAAAACCAGTTGAAGAAAGTATATTATCAGAATATATTCAAAGCTCAAGATTACCAACACAACTACGTGTTACTGCTTTAAATCACTTAATACAAGACATGGTATCACCACATTATGAACCGAAAGTTGAAATCCATCCACAATTACCTGTAGATCTAATGTTTAATCTAGAGAAGGATACAGCTGCAAAAGATTATGTGACTTTCAACGATTTTATAGAGAATCATTTGGAAAGGTTAAAGATGGCATATCGAAAAGCAGGGGAGCAACTTCAGAAGGAAGCAGCAGAACGGAAATCAAGGAATGACCCAAAATGTGAAACATTAACATTGGAACCTGGAACATTAGTGTACTTGCGAAATCGTGTAATCGGGAGAAACAAAATTCAAGATGCATGGGACTCTGACAAATATGAAGTCGTTAACGTGTAGATCTAGAACGCCATATTTATTTGTTAAACCTAAATGTGGAGTGCTACTGT